ATTTTCATTTACTGGGCTAATTTATGCGGTATTTGAACATTGTACCTATGGTGCTGAAAGCGTAATCCGAACTTTTGAAATGTGGCAACGAAACCATACATGTCATTGCGCAGCGTTGTTGGAAAAGTTTGCGCTATTTAAACAGATTATATTTCTAAGCTATTGTATCTCATAAATGCATGTGTTTTATCCGCTTAAAAGAAGCGCATTGGTTGTCTGCTTTCTACTACTTCAGAATGTGTTGAAGTACAAGTATGCGGGAAAATGGTTGACTGTTAAGCCTCCTGCGTCTGGTGTTAACGTGTTTTCCTAAAAACCGGCAGCTAGTATGGTTGTTCACCGCGCACAGTTATCTTTTTTCAAATCTTCTTTCGTATTTGTTTAAGTACGTAAAGTTCAAATTTGTAGAAATCTTTTTTGGTTCATTGCAAAATGAGTTCTACAAATCTGAGCAAATAAGGAGTAAGCATTGAAAAAATATAATTGCCAACTGTGGAACAATCTCGCTACCTATAGCTCCATAAGAAAATACGAGCAATGAAGCTTGAAAAGAAAAAGTTTTCAAATGTTTCTCAGTCGTGATTCGGAAGATTGAATGGTAGTTTTTATGTCACCTTAGATAACTATACGCAAGTTCCAGCGATTTGTTTCCAGAAAAAAAGCGTTGCTCCATCCAGGCAGCTTTTGAATGCACTTTAAACGACTTCGAATCTTAAAATGGCAATATTTGATCTTAAAATGGCAATTATGATTTTTTTTTACGAATTCTAGCTGTTATTCGATTGTTCATTATTACACTGTCGAGGGCAAGCGTCTTGTAATGGAGAACTAGACTTTTTCCCATGAACATTTTTCTCACATATCTGTAAGAGTTTGTGAAGCTGCTGTATTAGTGAATCTTTGCAAATTCGAGGCTCTTTCCTACTTGGCCTAGAGGTAACGCGGTTGACTTTGTACCCTAAGCTCTAGGTTTCGTGTCTCTGCCGGACCTTGTTTTTTTTCAGCATGTATTAAATTGGTTTTTTTCCGGGAAAAGTCGAATGGTTGGACTTTCGTTTGTCTGCCTTTATTTTGTCGGCTTAGTTGTCTCATCGGGGAGTTGTTTTCGCTGTCAGAATTTTTCAACGAAGATGCAAGAGTCTACCAGTCTTTTTTTGATAAGACTGAAAGTTTCCTTGCACACTGTCCATGCCATTTTTTTCTGTGTCATTTCAACAGATTTTGTTTAAGAGCTATTTTTCTTAAGAAGCATGTGTTGTTTTTATTTGCGGCTGCTTTGCACCTGTTTCAAATCTTATTTAACATTTGGAAACAAATCTCGTGTACATGTTTTGCTCGATGAACTCATCAGTTTGTTCCTTTGTCAAGGTGTCTCTTTGTGAAGCAAGTGTGTTTGAGAATGAGTAGGTGTTCCGTATGGTCAATTTTTGTGGTTGCATAGGTTTTTTGTATCGTATGTGGCCTGAAACACCGATTTAACTAACTCAATTATTTCTCATTTTGTAGTGGTTTGTTTCGAAAGCTTGGGCTGTGCGCGCGAAGCAGTTTCATCTCTGACAGAGAAGTGGCGGTGAGTAGGTATAGGTTTCCACTTCTAAGTCGAAACTTTGGTGGCTCGAGGTCCACCATGATCCATGCTCGTGGCCTGAGGGTGAGGTAACAACTCTGAATAGCTTGTTTAAGGTTTTCCTGCATGGATAAATGGTCTTAATATAAGTTAGCTGTTAAAATATTATTTTGTTCCGGCTTCCGAAGAAAATAAAGGATTATATATGCTTAATAATTGGGTTGGTTTTTTATTCAGACCCAATTTGGCGAACGATTTAACAGTTTTCAACGAAAAATATTTATAAACCCAGTAAAATATGGACTCCCTGAGTGCATATGTAGTAGGATGTTTTTACCTGCGATCGTTTGTTAAGTTCTGGATATTTGAAAGTTAATTTTCATTTACTGGGCTAATTTATGCGGTATTTGAACATTGTACCTATGGTGCTGAAAGCGTAATCCGAACTTTTGAAATGTGGCAACGAAACCATACATGTCATTGCGCAGCTTTGTTGGAAAAGTTTGCGCTATTTAAACAGATTATGTTTCTACGCTATTGTATCTCATAAATGCATGTGTTTTATCCGCTTAAAAGAAGCGCATTGGTTGTCTGCTTTCTACTACTTCAGAATGTGTTGAAGTAAAAGTATGCTGGAAAATGGTTGACTGTTAAGCCTCCTTGGTCTGGTGTTAACGTGTTTTCCTAAAAAGCGGCAGCTAGTATGGTTGTTCACCGCGCACAGTTATCTTTTTTCAAATCTTCTTTCGTATTTGTTTAAGTACGTAAAGTTCAAATTTGTAGAAATCTTTTTTGGTTCATTGCAAAATGAGTTCTACAAATCTGAGCAAATAAGGAGTAAGCATTGAAAAAATATCATTGCCAACTGTGGAACAATCTCGCTACCTATAGCTCCATAAGAAAACACGAGCAATGAAGCTTGAAAAGAAAAAGTTTTCAAATGTTTCTCAGTCGTGATTCGGAAGATTGAATGGTAGTTTTTATGTCACCTTAGATATCGATACGCAAGTTCCAGCGATTTAATTCCAGAAAAAAAGCGTTGCTCCATCCAGGTAGCTTTTGAATGCACTTTAAACGACTCCGAATCTTAAAATGGCAATATTTGATCGTCCAGAAGCTCGTAGCCTAGGAGATATGGATGAATTTATGAATTTTTTTTTACGAATTCTAAAAACATTAAAATATTTTTTTTCCTGATAGTGAAAGAAAGATACATAGCTAGGGTAGGTGTTTGTGAGCCATATGGCCCCGTTGTCTATCCTCTCCGAGTCTCATTTTAAAAATAACTCATAACGATGAATTGCTAAATTTATGTTATGAGTGATCCGATAAATTTATTCTTTCTCTTTCTTTCAAGCAGTCATTGTTTTGCCGAATGAATTGAGAGTTTAGATTTCCTGCTTTAATTAGGTTTCAACTACTAAAGAACTACTGAGATAATACCTCGATTTATGTTTTTGCTAGCTTTTTGGGTTCCCTCTGTATAATGATTTTATTCATTTGCGAGAGCATTTGTTCTTGTTATCGGAAACTAGACTTTTCACCTTTAACAAATCCTACAAAGTCTTGCTTTGGTATGGAATCTCAATGTCGTTTTGCTTAGTCTTACTTAGGCTAGACGTACAGCATGCGCCTTCGGTTCATACTGTCTATAGTCTGAGTCCCGGCCGGACTTCGTTGTTTTGGATATGCTTGGATATTGATTGTTTTAGAAAGTCTTGAATTACCAGACTATCGTTTATCTGCTTTTTTGGTCGTGTACTTTCCACGCCATGGAATCTATTGCCCTCAAAGCATTCTTTTTTTATAATAATTTGAATTAATAATTGAAAGTTGCTATGTATTTTGTGAGTTTACTGGCTCTGATTTTAATTAATAATCCATTTTTTTATCGTTTGTTTTTCTTGCTTCAATGGTTTTCGCTTGTGTTATTACCCTTGTGATCAGCAAGGATGTTGCAATCGAATATTACAAACCCCCGTAAATAATAACTTTTTCACATTTTAATTATCCGTTGTTTTCGAGGTTTGTATGTTTGAAATTTTACCAACTGGATTTCTTAAATATTCATTTTTGCTCTTTTTTGTATTTTTTTTCGGCTTAATATGGTTCGGCCTATTGTATATCGGCTTAGTGGCCTTATATTGCGCCGTTTTTAGTTGTTAATTTTAGGTGAAGTTTTCTTCAGGTAGTCATTTGTTTTCGAAAATTTTTCGAAATTTTTTTGATTTTTATTCGGATTCGTGGTTTTCTTCCTTGTTTTTTTTTTGCTTTCGGCTCAATAGTCGTCGACTCTAAACTTGTCGCCTTAGTTGCAGCTTGGTAAATGATTCCCAATGCTTTTTAAGTCTGTTTGTGAACATCATCCGGTATAAACGTGAAGTTTTTTTAGGTGAAGTTATGTCGACTTTTCTTTGAAAGTTTTTTTTCAGGTAATTTTTTAGAATTTTTTCCATTTTTAATGTTTAAACGCAATGTTTTTTTTTATTGTATAGCGAGTGTTGTGAAGCTCCGCTTCACCTCTGTGTATAAATTTAGTTGCCTATTTTTTGTAATTTTAGGAGCCTAACTAGATGTTATGTTTTTTTGTGTGTTTCAAAAGGGACGTGTTGAATGGGATGTAAAAAAAATTTTGACTATTTTTGTTTTTGACTGAACTGGCATCTACCCAAGTATTGTAGGCTTAGTTGCCGCTCTTTAAATGATTTTTTTCTTGCTTTTTCGATTGATTTCTTTATTTTAGTGGCTTCTGTCAAATTTTCTGTCTACTAGCTTGCAGTAGACATATTTTTTGTTTGTGTTGTACCGTAAGTGTTGCTTTTTTTTCATTAACCCCGGTCCTAGTCAATGTAGGACCAACCGCGGGGGAGGGGTATTGTCATCTACTTCGCCGTAGCTGGTACCGCTTTGAGGAGGTGGATGTCTTTCGGACAATTCCAAACCAGGCCGAGGTGGGATTCGAACTCACGATCCTCATGTTGGGTGCGTGCCTTACCCACTCGATCACAGCTGCGCCTCTGTGTATAAGAATGGGAATAGATTTGGTTCATTGAGTAGTCACACGTAAGGTTTATATATTTTTTTGGCATTCTCTCAAGCCGAACTGTTTTTGGTGATATATTACAATAGGTGGCAGGTTCATGTTAAATAGCTGGATCGCTGTTTGTTATTCTTCGATCGAAAGGTATATATATTTTTATTTCAAAATCCTTTTTTGGCAAAAAAGTGTAAATATTGAAGTTTTGGATAAAATTTTATCTGGGTCAGTAATGTATTTACAAAAACTATATTAGTAGCATGTAGTTTTTTGAGCATGCACTCTACTCAAAATGACCACCTATTGTAACATATCACCCTGATTTGGGTTCAGTTAGTTGACTTCTGTAAGTTTTACAGTGTTTGATTCGAAGTTATTATTATTTGAGGTTTGTTTATGGAGTCATGTATCAAACTGCACGACCTGTACATGCTTGTGGGCGACCTGAAGAGACTGAAACGTACAGGGTGGGTGTTATGTGGAGTAGGTGATGGGTATCCAGAGAGTGTTGCGGATCACATGTACAGAATGGGGTTCATGGCCATGACGCTTCCTCTGAAGGACTTCGAAGATAGTGCCGGGCTGGAGGGAGACAGGGTTGTGAAGTTGTGTTTAGTGCATGATGTCGCAGAAGCAATTGTTGGTAGGTTGCATTGATTGTGTTCAGATGAAGAGTGCACTTACTTTAGAATCCACACCTCACCGCAAATTATTATCAAAGATCCCAAAATATTTAAATTACTCGATTTTGAAGGTTCTACAATTTGAGTTGGAATAGATGTAGTTTTTAAATGACCAAAATGCTATTATGATTCTTATGATTAAATGAGGTTCGTTGGACATGTGGTTTTTGGTTTTTCTCAAGCTATGAGTAGCTTCTGATGTTTCTAGGTGATTTGATAGTTGGAAGGGACGGAGTGACCAAAAAGAACAAGCACCAGCTAGAGTCCGATGCAATTGAGAAAATGAAAACCGACCTCGACCCTCACACTGCGAAAATGTTCCAAGACCTCTGGCTTGAATACGAAAACCAAACTTCGTCAGAAGCGGAGCTAGCAAAAGATCTGGACAAATACGATATGATCTTACAAGCTCATGATTACGAAATAAGAGATAAGTGTCCTGGAAAATTACAGCAGTTTTTTGACAGTACGGAAGGTTCCTTCAAATACACTTGTGTAAAAAATCTTGTGCAAGTACTTTACGATAAACGAAAAAAATGGATAGAATCTTCAGAAGCTGTCCAGTCGTGACGAATGATGAGTCATTAGTTGATTGATTGTTTTTATCTTTTATGATGCTGCATCTATTTGAATTACTGAGCGATAAATCTCTTTTTCAAAACTTCAATGGAACTTGATCCAACTTATCTGTTCGGCTGTAAAGAAATACTTCTCTGCTCTATGTTCTGTTCGCGCAATAAAAACTGAAACGTATCAGTCATGGATTTTTTTGTAGTTTTTTAGAGCTCAGTCGTGTCTATTTCATTTTTTTTTTCAGATAAGAAATGTCACTCTAAATTGATTTTTTGTTTGTTTTGGTTGAAACGTTTGATCGGAACCCAAAATGGGCGTGACCAATTTATGGACTGTCCTGGCCCCTGTTAAGAAGAAGATTCCCATTAGCTCCCTCAGAGGTCAAACACTGGCAGTGGACTTGGGCTTGTGGATCTGTGAGATGCAGTTCATAAGCCACAATCCGATGTCATTCCAGACCCCATACTTGCGCACACTCTACTTCAGGATTCTGAAATTGAGTCAGCTAGGAGTGAAGTTGGTGTTTGTGGTTGATGGGGAAGCGACAGACATGAAGTTGAAAACAATGCTCAAGAGGCAAGTTTTTTGTTATCGCAGCTCGTGAATTTTTATTATCGCAAGTTGTGATACTTGTTCAAGTAACCGGATACACTTGTTGTCTCAATCACCGCCTCTTTGTTTTGCCGAGCATGGTTGAATCAGTTTTTTCTAGCTGAATAATTTCAGTTTATTATTACGCTTGCGATTAGACTTTTTGGTCTAGAGGTAACGACTACGCCTGGGACGGCTAAGGGCCTATGTTCGAACATTTTCGACTTATCTTTTATCAGCTTTGTGACCTAATTTTGCGTCTTTAGGAGAGGAAAATTAGATTTTCATCTTGTCTTTCATGAGGGGAAAGGGCGTAAGAAATAAAAAATCAGTTTTTTAACTCCGTTTTTCATGAGAATATTTTTTGTTTTCGGCTCAACTTGCGTTTATCGAAATGTTGTTGGCTTGATTGCTGCTCAATGAATGTTTCTGAATACTTCTTAAGTACTGGCGGTTGTTTCATTTTATTTTTTAACATTATTTGAGCCAAAAATTGTAGAATTTTGGTTAGATATGGTTGTTTCTTCAGCTTTCATTTTCTTTTCCGTCTGCTAGCTTGCGTTGTTATGTTTGTTTGATATAGCAAGTGGTGCGAAGCTCCGCTTCGCCTCTTTGTGTCAAATTCCTTTTCAATTAAATCTAGTCGTTGTTTCTAAGTCTACTAATCAACTCAATTGTGAATTGACTGATACTTTTGCCTGTAGGTTCAAGAAGGACTCGTGTGACAAAGTGAGTGAGGTTGTGATGAGTAGACTGAAGAGCAGACGGAGTTTCAGAAGTGTGCAGAAGCAGTGCTGTCAGCTTCTAGATGCACTCGGCATACCACACCGAGAGAGCGAGGGAGAGGGAGAGAAGCTGTGTGCCATTTTGAACCAGCAAGGTGAGAAAATATTCATTCACAGTGATATCTAGCTTAGAGTACATGGATGGAGCAAATTAACATCCTCTGTCCCAGAGAAATTTAGGGGCGAGTGCAGGGGCGGATTTTTTTTAGGTCGAACAAATTGATTTTCTGAGCCCCCCCCCCCCCCCCCCAATCACTTTAATGACCCTATTTTGACAAAATTTTCTGCGCCGCAGGCACATTTTTGAAAAGACAGGCCAAAAAAAAGAGTTTTTAAGCGCTTTTTTGGAAAATTTTGGCCAAAAAATTGCGTTTTTTTGGCGCGCGCTTCCCCCTGAAAACTAGTATATGTTGGCGCCGAAGGCTCCTGTAGAATATTTTTAGGGCTAGTCAGCCGAAAATGGATATCTCAAAATAGTACAAAGGGGGACCTTTTGTGTCAGCAGGGGGTCGAATTCCCGTGGGGGGGGGGGGGGATCCGCGCCCCCCTAAATCCGCTGGTGGGCGGGTGTTTATTTGTTTTAAACCCCGTGCATTTTTAATGTTTTAATGATCGTGTTTTTCTACTTGTCTTGGACCATACCTCGATTACCCTTGAGAAGCTCTGCTGTTTAAATCTTCCACCTAAAACTTAGCAAATGGCGTGACTAAATTTTGAGCGTGAACGTATGCAGAATATGAATTTATAATCGAAATTTGAATTGCTGGAGCTTATCGTCCATTACAAAAATTAAAAACGATTTGAATAGGATCTTATTGTCAAGATATTTGACAATAAAGAAGTTATCGACAGGATAGTTTGCAGTTCTTAGCGTGCGTTCATGTTCATTCTTCGAATCATTTCCAAAAGGGTTTTCAAATACAATTTATAGGTCTGGTAGACGGAGTAATAACGAGCGACGGAGATGCATTTCTATACGGGGCTCACAAAGTGTACCGCAATCTATCTATCAGTGAGAAGGAACCTTCTATTGAGTTCTACGACCGAGACGAGATCAACAAGAAGCTGCACTTGTCACGGGAAGATTTGATCTGCTTTGGAATCCTAGTTGGCTGTGATTACATCCCAAAAGGCGTCCCGGGAATCGGAAAAGAAGGTGCGTTGAAGTTCTTATCTGCAGTTCTAAAACCTCTTCATCTATTTAACGAAGCTCATAAATTGCAAAACGACTCAAGTCATTGTTTAACTTGTCGTCATGAAGGAACAGACCACGAGGAAAACGGCTGTTCACAATGTCGAACTTCGGTTTCGTGTTACATGAACTCAAAATCACTTTGTTCATGCCGACAACACTCTAAGTTGACCTTGAGCAACCATTACATTATACTGACACTTGAAAAGTGTACACAATTAGAAGAATTTCCCTTCAAACCGATAGTTAAAGAATTTATTGATTCCCGTGCGCGATTAAAGTTAGGTGAAAAATTGGAATTTAGATGCCCATCATTGCAAAAATTCAAAGCGTTTACTTCATTGGTTTATATGTGGGAGCCGAACTATTGCTTGCAACAAGCAGTTCTGAATGCGGTTGCTTTTCAAAATAATCACCAAAATTGTGAGATTGCAAATGGATCAAAGAAAGACGGGTGTTATTGCTCCGAGTTCAACCCTGTTAAAATTGTAAAAGCGAGGAAGAAAAATTTCGAAACGTGCGTTGAAGTTCAATGGAGTGTACCAGAAGTGTTTCGGAAATGTTTTGATGAAATTCAGATAAATGACAATGCCGTAGAAATGAGAACAGTTGAACCGGTTGAAATTATTTGTGAAAAATTTTCTGAGCTCTGGAACGAGTATGAATCACAGAAAGTTAGATCGAAAAAAGAGAATCGAAAACCGACGAAGCGAAGCGCAAAAAACAAAGCGATGATTGAAAATGGTGATGAAAATATTGACGATAATTGTGTTGTGTCTCAAGAAGAAAATCAAAACAATGAGTTGTTAAATGACTCCTTAAAATTTCTGAATTTGGAATCGCCATCAAAAATGAGAAAAACACAAGAGCAAAAAGAGCTTCTTTTGAGTAAGACTCCAAAACAAAAATGCAATGATATGCGAGTATCTGGTCAGAATATTGGCAATAATTTTCTACTGGACAATCGAAAAAACAACCACCTGAAACGATATTGGTGTTTCTCGCCCTCCAGCGACCAAGCTGCGTCACAGCCAGTATGTTCGGCGCCGAGAATAACTTCAACTCCATACAGAGCGCTTTCTCCCAACTCATTTTTCCAGTCCGTAGAAATAAATGGGAAACATAATTTCTCGTCTTCGCCAATTGCTTCATCTGCGGTGAACAGTGCTAAAATTTTCAAACCCCAAATTGCACCAAGTCCTTATTTAGACGTCGCAGAAAGAATTAAAAATCAACAATTTTATGGCAACACAGCAAATATAAATATGAAGGAATCTGCGAAACCTGAACGACTTTTGTTAAGTTCCAGTGACGAAAACGAAGATGATAATTTAGCTAATGGATTGAAAGTAGAGAAAATTGACGATGTTGATGGCAAATCTTCTGATTCAGAGATCGAAGCAATGGAAGTTCCGATGGCACCTGAAGTAGAATTAAGGAAACAAGAGAAGAAAAGGAAGGCACTCGCAGTAGCCCATAAATTGATCCTGGACGATTCTGATGACGATTGCTTTCAGCAGCCCAATGGAGTTGAAAACGAAAAAGTGCACGATAGTATTGTGAACAAAATAGCTCTCAACCGGCGTGGTTCAAATCAGCTGGCGGAATATGATAATGAAGATCAAGAGGATGAAGATGATATAGTTTGTCTTGAAGATGTTCCGTTAATGGAAAGATTGAAAAAGCGTAAAGAAAGTTGTCCTTAGTAGTGTTATCAATAAAAAATTTAATTTGTGCGGGATAGTAAGTTGTTCTAAAGACAATATTTTTGTTTGAATTCCTTGATCTCATGTTCGATTCAAATATAGTGTGCTATGGAAATTTGAAAAGAATCAATTTTGACGGAAAAAAAATTGTCAATATTAATCATAATTTAATCGTGATTTCAGTTAATTTCCAATTTGTTTTGAAATTTGCAATTAAGAGTCGATGAACGTAGTGAATAATTCTATATAGGTCGTGATGGTTTTTTCTGTTTTTCTTCCAGTCAAATATGATTTTTTTTGCGGTTTGACTTCTGATTTCTTTTAAGCTTTAGCTCAGTTCCTTGTTAAAAGGAAGGTTAACTCCGCTATCGAACAGCAAAAGAATAAAGTTCACGAAACACGCGATGGACTTTTTATTTCGAAAGTGGATTTTAATTTTCAGATTTCCTTGTGGAATAAAAACTTTACCTATTGATCCAAATTGAGTTATTTTGATGGAAAATGTCAATCATAATTTGGCCAGATACTTTCTTACGAAATTCCAAATAGAAATTTTTTAAAAATACAAGTCAGAGTTTTCCTGTTTCCTTGCGTTCATTGACTCTTTTCCAACTGTCTGTGGAGTATGTTTTATTCTTGCGATTTTTTGTAATTCGCAAAATGAAATCGCTCTTTTTTTCTGTTGGCTTCAATATGCTCATACTGCATCCTTTTAGCGTCTAATCAGCGTGGGCTTTGTACTTGAATAAACAAGTCATTACAATTTTCGAACCAGTTTTTGCAATTTTTATGTTCATCGCTTGCATTTCAAATTTCTGACCTATTTTTTGATTTTTTTAATTTGAAATTTTAATTTAGAGCACCACAACTCACTACATTTTGTACGGTTTTTCCTGAAAGGGTCATCGTCAAATTATTATCTTTCTGCTAAAGGAAATTGGTTTTCAAAGATTGCATTAATAGTTTTGATGACTACACTTGCAAGCTAGCGGGCATAATGTTCAAAAAAGATCAGTCCAAATTGCCCTTTCAAAATTGCTAATGTTGGTCCATTTTTGTGCAAAATTTTAGTGTTAGTTAAACAGTGGGATCTAGCCATATCGGTTTTTATCAAAGCACGCTCTTTGCTGGGTGGTATCTTAGAGTTACGTATACATCGAAGTAGTAAAAATCAAGGCACCGTTGAGAAATGGTGAAAGCCAGTGGTTCTTGCTCATTTTCCCCTATATTCACTTATTCTTCGACGTTATATTGTTTTGAGTTTGATTTCCTTTCTAGGAATAAATCTGTATTTTAGCATTCTTTTCCTTTTAAAAATAATTTGCCCTTCTTTCATAGCTGCGGCTTCTGCCGTATCCGGAGTTCTTTTTTAGAGTCGATGAACGTAGTTTTTTTCCCTGGGAAAAGTCTTAAAATTTGTACAGGCTCAAAATTGTTTTTCGCGGTTTGGCTTTATTTTAGTTCATTTCCTTTGTTTATGTAAATGAATGTTTTTATTGATAACTTAATGCAAATGTATTTTCCTACTCAGTTTTTTTTCTGTTTACTCGCGTTCATATTTTGTTTTTTTTTTTCGTGCAAATTTTGATTTTTTGTTTTGTTCCTCTGAAATTTTCCACTCATAAATTCATTATTATATCCTGTAACTGTCGAAACTTCATTTTGTACGAGTTAGTTGCTCAAATTTGATCCGTTAATTGAATGTCATTGAATGCTGTCTGATTTTAATTTATGATAGAGGTTTTTTTGCACTCAATATTGTCGTGGTTTATTTTGTGGTACTTGCGAGAAAGAGAATCATTACATTATTGCTAAATCATTGACCAATAAACAGTTTTAATTAGCATATCATTTGGATGCGAACCATTGGCTTAATGCCGGATTGTACTGTACAATTTTTTTGCTTAAAATTTGAGCTTTCGACCACCGAAGGGAAGGTTTTTGATTCGGTTAGCTTTTTTCCGATGTCTTGTTCCGATGAACGAAAATGAAGTATTTTTTATTCTGTTTTTTTTTAAACGAAAAATAAGGTACCATAGTCACCTACGAAGCTGAGTGTATATCATAATGAGGTACACTTTGTTTTCAAAAACGTTTGAAATTTCGATAAACATTAAGTTTCTTACAACGGTTTTTGAGGTAGGCATAAATGTGCCTTTTACTGTCCTGCTGTCATTGATTCATTTAACAGTACGCAAGAATAAGATTTTGAACGCTGTTTTTGAAAATTAACAATGTCTCAAATTTTTTCTCCGAAAAGTTGCGTTTTTATTGACTCTTTTTGTTACTCTGCTTTTTCTTAGTCTTGTTCCCACCGATTACTCTTGTTCCCACAACTCAAAACGTGAAAAGGAACTAAGAAAAGGAAAAGGTTTTGAATTTTGCAGTTAATTTTGACCACTTCAAGGAAAGCTCGTTAGGGAGTCAAGGTTGGTATCATAATGAAGCCTTCTTGATTGTGGTTCGGATTCCAAAATAAGAATCTGATAAAGATCTCGGCAGTGTTGAGGAAAATTGGGTTGAATATTTTCGGTTTCAGATAAGTTTAGACGCAATATAATGCGCGGCAGACCTCCCAGTTCAATTGGAGTCTAATTTCACCATCATTTTGCCTAATATCACGCCTCATTCTTTCGTTTTTTTGTCACCTACTTCCGTTAACCTTAACAAAAAATTGCAATAGATTTGATAAAAAAAAGTTTTTTATTCTAATTTTAAAGAAGCCTGATTCTGTCTTCGTGTTTCATTGTTTCATGAGTTATTGTCGTTGGAACAATTTGTGCTAAATGCACAGCAACCGGTTATCTTGTTTGTTCCGACGATTAAAATTGGAGGAACTTTGTTTTGGCCGCAAATAATCATCGGAATGAGTCAAGTGATGCATCACAAGGAAGCCCTTTTACTCGTGGTTCCAACTACCCTAAAATTAGCCTCAAATTGTTCCCAGTGTCGAAAGTTTTCGTCTAATTTTGAGCGAGTAAAGTCTTATAAAGGAAAATTTTTCATTGAAGCAGTGAAAACATAGTAAACGTTTCATTGCTATTTAAAAAATCAATAAAAAATTCAGCAAAATATTTTTCTTAAAGTTTTTGTTTGTTTATTATTTCCTTTTCGAAGACAGCTATTGTCGATGATAACTAATTCAAGAAAGTTCTACGCATTCAAATAGTTGTCTCACCACACCACGCACAAAAATCGACATTTATTTGAAAAACGGTTTCAAATTTTTTGGTAGTTTTGTTGCAAATTAGGTCGGAACATTCTGTGCTACTTGCACAGCAACCGGCTATCTTTATTGATTTTCATTATGATCTGGTCTTTCAGAGTGACTGAGCATGTACAATGGAATCGGGCTGGCAACAGCTAGAGGCAGTGGCACCAATGGATATGTGCAGAAGAATCTCGCCTTCATAAAAATGGGAAAGACCAAAATCGAAGTAGAGGTCAGTTTTTTCGCTGCGATCATCAGCTTTTCGAAAGAATCGCAAATTAAAATTTTATTTTTCAAAATCAAGACGGTTTCTTTCAACAATTCCGATTTGTGTTTGTTCAGAAAAGTGTCAGAAAAATGAATAAAAACTTTGAAATACTCTGGATAATATACCAATAGTTTCCAACAGAATTTTCCAGTAGTTTTGAACTGCCTCCTGCAAATAGTTTTCAGGCTATAAAGAGTCTGTGTGGCTTTTAAGCATTTTTTCATGGTACATTATGGACATTACTTACTGTTATCTTTTTTGTTGAATATAAATGAAAAATTAACATCTGAACGTCATGTTCTTGTCTTGAAAAATGGTCTGTTTTGTATTGAAAAGGATGATGCGGCAGCAAAGCTGGAGAAGATTCTGGGCAAGAGAGGCAACGAGGAGATCCTGGAACACGAGAGGAAGAGACAGGTGGAGATCAAGTGCCTCGAGTTTGAAGATGAACTCATCCAGCAGGGGTCAGTATTGCATAGTTAGTTGTTGGTTCTACGAGTAACCTTTTCAGTCCTAAAATGGGCAGTTCCTGTGTTAAGCTCATGAAGTATATTAAACATACTAACTAATCCCCTTTCACCCTATGCAATTTGAGGGAGTTGCTAAAGAGATTTCGAAATTAAAATATAAAAAAAAAGACTTTTATTGAATTAGACAAGAAAAATTGAACTGATTGATTTGCCCCTATTGAATCTTATGCGGTTTGCCTTCCAGCTACGAGGACGACGAAGTGGATGAAAAGGTAGCGGAGTTGCGGAAAACACTGACAGAGGATTCCAAAAATCCTAGGTCCAAATTCTGCAAGAACAACCTGCCTCGACAGTAGTGAGTAGTAGTTGGTTTCCTCTATTGGTTTTAGTTTTTAAACATAGATATGCACATCGCTTCTTTAGATCGCTAATTCTCATGTCGTTCAATCGCTAAACGAAGAATTTTTAGCTAAGATTTCTGAAACATCGTTTTAAAAGTTACTCCGAAATGGTTGCTAGAAGTGGTTGGAAACAACTGTGCATCAGTCCGATGGCGTAGCTTGACCTTAACGTAGAAGTTGGAAAAAATTGTAGAAAACTTAACGATTTGCTGCTCTTGAAACGATGTGCTGATCTTTAGCAGAGAATTTGGTGTATTCACACCGAGCGTTGCTCCGACCCAAGCAGCGAGTTGTAGAATCTTCGCTAATAAATAAAATCGCTTAATCCAATTTTTACGGGCGATGTTCGCGAAATCGCTTATTAGTGTTGTCAACCCTGGATTAGTATACCTCTTCTTGCACTCAATGATGCATTTTTTTAAAAATCTCAAGCGTGTATGTGCCATGCTTGTGCATGCTTTTGCACTGATACTGCCCAATAAAAATGCTTGTAATAAAATAGCTTTTATCAGAGACAGTATTAAACACCCTTGCAAATAAATCAGCCATAAAGGTAAAATTTAATCAATCTTAAATTCGTCATGTTTAATGTCTATACATCTTATTGACAATTTTCTTATTTTATTTCTCTGGTATATTTTTTTTCACGGTAGATTCGTACGAGGGAGTCTTTATGTAGCGCTCATAAAAAGTTTCAACCCATTTATGGAAAAAATAAATGGTAGTTCTATCTGTTCAAATTTAATGTTAACCTGCTTTTCCCGTTAAACTTTTAAAAGATCCATGTTATTCCAGACATTCAGGGTAAATCCAGAAATTTAATTCGATAATGGCGATCAATTTGATTGCATATCATTATTTGTCCAAATAGGCAGCTCTTTTTCTTTCCTTTTCACATATGCAAATATAAGGAAAAATTTCCCTTTTCCATTCGTTCTTGCTCCCTTTTTTGCATTGCTTCAATGGATGAATTTTGTCGCTACATGAGGCGCTACAAAATAGCACAACGTATCTAGCGTATAGTGTATGTTAAAATATATGGTCGACTGCTGTATTTTTTCACAGCGACTTGAATTTCCTTTTTTTTTTTTTTACAAATATAGACTGTGACTATTGACTGTGCGCTTTTTCATTTGATTATTTTTATTTTATCTTTTACTTATTTTTTTTCTAAGTTTGATCCCCTTGAATTCGAAATTGCTCTGTTGCTGCAAGAAGTTTGAATTGTCGGGTTTTGGCCTGGTTTTACTTACCAATGGATTAATTATTCAGTTATTACTTAGCTATGACTGCAATATCTAGGTCTCCCCTGTCCCTGGATAAGTTGGACCAGGTCAGGTTCGATCTAAACTCAAAGGAACTCTTCAACCAAGTTTGGAACAGCTCAGCTCATGTGGGATCTATTAGGTACTACTGTCGCTAATTGGAGCTTTGATATTTAGAATTTTTTTTATCACAAATGAAAAAAAAAACATTTTTGTGCTAGGCTCGAAAATCGTCCGCGAGAAATTTTTGGGTTTGTCTGAGACCGTAGGGTAATTGGGATAAATTATGACGCTTTTGCATTTAGATATGTTTGCACTGAGTTATTATTTAGATTTCTAGTTAATGTTATTTTCTTTTACCATGCGGGAACAGAAAAAACAGAATGTGTTGGTTTGTGATGAGATCATGGCTTAATTAAAAACCAATCTAGTTTTGACGCTGTTAAATTAATCAAAAGTCTCCGTGTAGGGAGGGGAGGATCTAGGATTTTCTCGAGGGGGCGAATTTTCGAAAAACTTGTCAAGAAATTTTGTGGACCTTTTTTTAGATCGACCAATTTGATTTTCTAAGCTTTTAGAAAAATTTTGGGGTCCATCAGCCAAAAATAGATATCTTAAAATAGTTCAAAGGGGGGACCCTTTGGGTCGGCAGGGGTCGAATCCCTGAGGAGAGGGAAGTGTCACCCCCCTAAATCCGTCCCTGCGTGTAGGTATTGTATTTGTAATTTAGTGTGAGTGAAACACATGCAATGGCGGAAGCGACAGCTGCGAAGAACGAGGCGTTCAGGTCTGCCCTGAAAATAGAAGACCCAAATGCAACAGTTGCTGAGGAACCGGGAGATTCTCAGAAGGAAACTCCTGGAAATGTGTCAGAAGAGGAACCCCCAGAAAGCTCGCACAAGTAAGTAGACGCGAATGTAATACGTGTCAAAAGTTGAAACAAAGAATTAATTGAAACAAAGAATTAATTAAAAAGAGCAAATTACCCATTTCAGGAAATATTTGCACGCAAACGCTGAATTTTTGGACAGAAGTCTCAAGTTCGCTTTCCAATTAAATTTTTCTTATTTCTGTATGTTGAAGTTCAAGAAGTTCAAACAAACGAAGTTTGTTGAAAAGAGCAATTTGTCATTCAAAACAAAGTTGTATGCAAGTTTGAGTTTTGAAGCTATCTTGAGATTTCAATTCAATGTGGAAATTTAGCGTTACCTTTTATAATGAGGCAATGGTGAAAAACAACGATAATTCAAATCAACGTTCACTGCACATCGCATGTAAATCGAAACTAGAGTTGGAATACTATCAAGCAGTTCATATACAAAATGATTTATGAGAAAGCTTCAAATAAAAAAAAACTAGACTTATGATTTGATTGAGAAACAAATCAAATATTGAATGCAAAAACTATTTGCTAAATGTTGAATGCAAAAACTAGCAAGTTTTTTTTTCAAAAGCTGTAATTGACATTCTAATTGTATTTTGCTCGGAATTAAAATGAAATTCATTTTTTTTGGTCGCTTGAAGGTCTTTTAAAGGCAAAGCTCAAGCCACAGAGCAATGAACGAAGCCTTCTAAGTGACAAAGGTGACTGATGTTTTTTTTTCAGGAAAAGGTCGAAGCATTCTAAGAGACATCGTAGTCGATCTAGACACGACAAGGAGGATGAGGCAACCGAATCAACCAGGAAGTAAGTAGATTGAGATAGAATTATAATCTTACGTTTTGATCAGTTTTTCTATGTTGATAATTGAATTACAGTAAACGAGTATTTACCAAAACTTGATTATTATAATAGTTATCGAACCAAATATTTGCTTAATGTTGAATGCAAAAACTAGCAAGTTTTTTTTTCAGAAGTTGTAATTGACTTCTTGATTGTGAACAGCTTAGGAGATTACAATGTTATTTTAGATCATCCAAGAAGCACAAGAGCAAAAGCCACAGACACAAGTCCAGATCGCAATCCCCTTCATCGGCTTTATCTCGATCGAGATCCCACAGCAACAGCAGTGCCAATAAAACTTCTCACTCCAATAAAACTCACTCCAAGTCCCACAAACATTCCTCGCCTGCTTCTCCCCCTATTTCTGAATCTTCGCACAAACATAAAAGTAAATCTAGTCACAAGTCTAAATCTTCTTCTGTTCATTACTCTAACTCGTCTCATTCGAACTCGAAAAGGTAAGGTGATGTATTCAAATGTGACGTCATTTTGTTAAATTCAATGCAGTTTATTTAATTTTTAGTTCTCGAGAAATAGCCAAACTCAAAAAATAGGGTGCAACTTGTGCAATTCCTTGATACTCATAGATATTCAATTTAGCCTAATTTGACAAAAAAAGCTATGGTATAGCCTGGATTTTGTCCCGTTTTTTAGATAGGAAACCGGAGTGGGTGTTGAGTTTTATAGATCTATTTATGTCAGATTGCGTTTTGATTTCGATTATGTAGATCATCATGAAGAAAAAAACGCATTTACGTCTTAATCAATTGTTGGCCTACTCACTCTATCAATTTTTACTTATAATTCTGACCATTGCAAGCGTTGAAGAGGTTAGTCTTCACGTGTGTTCTTTGTTATTTTTCCAGCACAAAATAGCTACTACAAATGAAGGTCGAATCATAATAATAATAATAATAATAATCTATTATATATTTAAATGCGGGCTTCGCTATCTCGCCGTGTTTAAGCTTTCTCAACGTACAATTTTTGCATCTTTAAGGAAAGAATTTTCGCACGTTTAAGCTATATCTTTTATTGCAATCGTTAATTTTTTTCACTTTTCCAGCTTGAATTCAGTGTTTTCTTTTTCGTGAAGTTTGAAGCTAGCAACCCAAAATTGGGATGTTGTCAATGCTACCCTAGGGGTTGCAAATTGGGCCTCCAAAATATGGGTACCCAAATCTATTTAGTTAATGAGATACAAAGATGCTTGTGATTTTTCTCCGACAGTTTTCATAAAACTTAGACTTGAAAAATTCCACAAAATTAAAATTCTCAACCCTGAAGTTGGGTACTGTCAGGGTTCTCTCAGGGGTTCCAAGTCTTGCGTAAAAATTTGACTGCTCAGATCCTTTTACTTACGGGGATGTGACGTTTTTATTTTTTCAAATTTTTTTTCATAAAACTTAGATATGAAAAACCTAACAAAAGTTCATATTATCTATTCTATGCTGTCAGATTTTGTCAGAGTACTCTCAGACCTTGCAAATCGTCCCTCCAAATGTGACTGCTGAAGTCATTTTAGTTTCGAAGACATGACGTTTTTTCAATAGTTCTTAAAATATTTTCCAAAATTTGATTTGAAAAAATTTTGAATTTTTTTCTCAACCCTATAATGGGGTGATCTCAAGGTACTCTCAGAGGGTTGCGGGGCAATAAGCAAAATGGTCTAAAAGCAGCATGGGTCTAAGAGCAGAAAAGTACTAAAATACACAAAAATGTTGAATTATACGGTAAAATCAATACGCAAATATTAGAATAATGAATATTATCAGTAAAATGAATAAAATATACATAAGTTTGAATAAGTTAATTGAGTTGTTTCAAGTGTTTCAGCAAATTCCAGCGATTCCATTCCAATAAGTCTTTAGCGAAATATTGTCGTCCAAATAAGAGTTTTAGCCGAATAATCTTCGTATCCAGTTCATGCAACGCTCGTTTTTTTTTTCGTCGGATTTCTACTCTTGACTCCATTTCTGGAATTGCTAACTTTTAGGACAGTCCAAAAACTTGGTTTTTGGACTCCAGTTAGATCGTTCTAGCCTCTTTTCCAGTTTTCGCACTTATTGGTTGTTCGAATATCCACAGGGCGGTCAAACACGTTCCATAAATCCATTGGAATTGGACCCAAAAATTCCAAATATAATCGAAAATGTTTCCAATTTTTTCGCATGAATTGATTTCTAATTGATAATAAGCCAACGCCATGCTTATCTCGTTAACAGGTAAATCTGCGAGACTGAAACGTTTTCGGGCAACATCTTGAAATTTTTTGTCCGTTTTGTAATCGCAACTTAGTCCAAATTCTTGAAATTTTTGGTAGTTGCCTTGCGAAAAATGAAATAAGCAAGCAAAATGTGCCGAAGCATGGAAAACTTCTCGAATTGCGGGTATTAGCCCGGTTTCCTAATCGATTACTATGGTGTCGGGCATCAAGGGTAAGCCGACTATTTCGTTGCATTTTCCGGACAAAGCTTTGAAAAAAATGTTCTAAAAAACTTGTAGGAACTTTTCAAGTATGAGCCGACCCGAAGATGGTGTAGATTTGAAGGAATGGAGGAAGTTTTGAAAGTTCCATCACACAATATTTTTTGGCTTCTCACCAAAAAATCAAGACCCTATTTGGTACCAAAAATCAACATACCTTGACCTTGATGAAGTAGAAAATCTTGACGATTCAGAGTCATTGTCCATGATCATATAAGTTTATTATCTTCGATTTAATTCGTTGATATTTAAGTGCGGGCCTCACTATCTCGCCATGTTTAAGATTAATCAACGTATTAGTTTTGCATGTTTAACAAATGAATTTTTTACGTTTAAGCTATATCGTATATTGCAATGGTTAAGGTGTTTTTTCAATTTTGCAGTTTGAATTCAGTGTTTATTCCATCAAGTTTGAAAATAGCAACCCAATAGTAGGGTTTTGCCAGAGGTTTCCCAGGTTTTGCGATTCTAGCCTCCGTATAATAATAACCAAATCCTTTTAGTTAAACGAGATAGGCAATTTTCGAGGTTTTCAAAAAATTTCTCGAAAGTTTAATTTTAAAACATTTCCAATTTTTGAAATTCCCACCTTGTAATTGGGTGCTGTCATCAGGGTACTCTCAAGGGTTGCGAATCTTGCCTCCAATTTTCACTTCTCAAATACTTGTAGTTTTCGAGATATGACGTTTTTTTTTTTGTTTTTTTTTTTTCGAAATTTTTCAGAAAAATAAGATATAAAAAATTTCACAAAAGTTGAAATTACCATCTCTGTAGTGAGGCTCTGTCAGTGTACTCTCAGGAGTTGCGAGTTTTGCCGCCAATTATGACTGCTCAAATCCTTGTAGTTTTCGAGAAATGATGTTTTTTAGGAATTGTAAGTTCGGCCTCCAATAAAGAATGCCCAAATCATTTCTGTTTAAGAGACAAGACGATTTTTGTGATTTTTGTGGAAATTTTCTGAAAACTTAAATTACAAAATGATTTGTTAAAGTGAAATTCCCAACCATGTAGTTATGTACTTTCAAATATTGCGAATATTGACATCAAAAAAGACTGCTCAAATTTTTGCAGTTTTGAAAAGTGAGTTTTTTTTTCTTTTCTACAAAAATACTTCTATTAGAAAAATTATAGTGAAGTTTCTCAGAGTTTGAATTTTCCAACGTTGTAGTTGGTTATTGTGGGGGTACTCTCAGTAGTTGCAAATCTTGCGTCCAAATGCGACTGCTCAATTGCTTTCAATTTCCCAGATGTGACGTTTCTTAATTTATTATAAACTTAGAGAAAAAATTGTCACACATTTTTATGATTTTTCAAAATTTGGATTAAAAAATCGAATGAAAAATTTTACAAAATTTGAAGTTGCTCTCAGGAGATTCAAATCTTGTGTCGAAATGCGACTGCTCAATTGCTTTCAGTTTCCCAGATGTGACGTTTCTTAGTTCATTTTAAGTTTTTCGAAGAACTTACATAAAACTTCACAAAATTTTATGGTTCTTCAAAATTTGTATAAAAAATTTGAATAAAAAACTTTGCAAAATTTTTTATTACGAACCCTGTAATTAGGTGCTGTCAGAGTACACTCAAAGAATAGTTTTTTGAGTTGTTGAAGTTTCGAAGCACCGGAGGTGCGGTACAGGCTAGTAATAATAATAATAATAATAATAATAATAATAATAATAATAATAATAATAATAATAATAAGAATACTAATAATAATCATAATACTAATAATAATAATAATAATGATAATCATAATGATATTAATCATAATCATAACAATAATCATAGTAATCATAATAATAATAATCATAATACTAATAATAATCATAATAATAATCATAATCATAATAATAATAATAATAGTATTAATATTAATATTAATAATAATAATAATAAAATTATAATAATAATAATCATAATAATAATGATAATCATAATGATATTAATCATAATCATAATAATAATCATAATAATCATAATAATAATAATAATCATAATAATCATAATAATAATAATAATCATAATAATAATAAAAATAATCATAATAATAATAATCATAATACTAATCATAAAAATAATCATAATAATAATAATCATAATCATAATAATAATCATAATAACCATAATAATAATCATAATCATAATAATAATCATAATAATCATCAGAATAAGAATCATAATCATAATAATAATCTTAATAATAATAATCATAATAATAATCATAATAATAATCATCATAATAATTATCATAATAATCATAATCATAATAATAATCATCATAATAATAATCAGAATAATCGTAATCATAATCATAATAATAATAATAATGTTAATAATAATTTTAATTATTAGAATCATAATCATCATAATCAAAATAATAATAATAGTTATAAGAAGAATAATAATAACAATAAAAATAACAGTAATAGTAGTAGTAGTAATAATATAATATTAATAATTGTTATAATAATAATAATTGAATTAAAGTACTAATAGTATTAATAATAATAATAGTAATAATGATAATTATAATCCTTGCAATTTTTTACTTGAGGTTTTATACTGTCTCTTCAATGATGTCAATTATCAAATGGTCGTAATGAGATTAGTCAGTGTGCCGGCGCGTTGGAAAAATTCAGATTCAAATTTAAGCTTTCACAATATTTTTTCAAGCTTGCATGAGTTGTTTGTGCTTGTTCTTTAATTAAAATAAATTTTTTCCACTGCAGGTCTGTTTTGCCATTGTTAATTTTACGCAGTAGAAGTGAAACGTGTAGTTCATGATAAAATGACAGCGGCAGTATCTTAAGTTCAATCATTCGGTCCTAGTATCCATGATATGTGCCTGTTAGCCTAGTTGTTGCTATCCTTTACACACTTTCGATGATTTCAATATCGTTTTTTGATAGTTTCCATAGAGCTGAGCCATAGCTTTAAATGGGTGCAACATATGATTTCTATGCTCTTTGTT